ACTAATATAAAATTTTGTGGTTCATGCCAATCACTTGCTTTCCTTCTGGGAGTCTGGAATTTGGGTACATGCTGACCATAGGGTGCCTAAATAACAAGATCCCAATAAAAACCCTGGGCACTGAGCTTCTAATAAGTAGCATTCACAATGTCGCATACGGTTTTCACTAAGCTCAAGGCTACGGTACAAGCAGTGATAGACACTTCTCATATGTTCTCACAACACACTGCTGGAGGATTAAGTGTGCCCTGAGTGACTCTATAGGAGAGGACTCTTGGAAACTTGTGCCTGGTCACTTCTAGACTTTGCCCTGTGCACTCTTCTCATATGTTCTCACAACACACTGCTGGAGGATTAAGTGTGCCCTGAGTGATCTATAGGAGAGGACTCTTGGAAACTTGTGCCTGGTCACTTCTAGACTTTGCCCTGTGCACTTTTCCTTTTGCTGATTTTGCTTTGATTCTTTTGCTGTAATAAATCCTATTCATGAGCACAACTATATGCTGAGTCCTGTGAGTCCTTCTAGCAAATCGTTGAACTTGGGAGTTGTCTTGGGAATCCTGGATACAAACCTAAATGTTCATCAACTGATAAACAGATCTTAAAAATGTGGTACATCCATACAATGGAATATTTTCAGCCATAAAAAGGAATGAAGTACTGGTATATGCTACGACAGAGATGAACTCTGAGAACATTAGGCTGAATAAAATAAGACAATCACAAAAGACCACATTTTGCGTGATTCCATTATAAGAAATGCCCAGAATGGGCAAATCCATGGAGACACAAGGTAGGTTAGTGGATGCCATGGTTTGGGAGGAGAAGCAGGGTAGAAGGGAATAGGACGTGACTGGTAATGGTTACAGGGTTTCTTTCCAGAGTGACGAAAATGTTCCAAAATTTATTGTGGAGATGATTGCAAAACTCTGTGAATATACTAAAAACCATTAAATGGTATACTTTAAATGGGTGAATTACATGGCACCTGAATTATGACTAAATAAAGATGTTTTAAAAAACAAGATCCTGATTATAGTGGGGGGGCTAGATGGGACATAATGGGGAAGATGGGAGCATTTCCAAATCCCCTCATGGCCCTTGGCCTGTGTTCCTTTAGACCCACCCAAAGAAAAACACATTTCTCTTCCAAGAAACCATATGGGCAAACATGTTGAGAAAAAATACATGTTTCTTTCATATAAATGGAGAAATTTGGGACTGCAGGTGGATTTAAATACAGACAATGTCAAAGAGAATTTCTAAAAGACAATTGATTACTTAGTAAAAGTGGTTCAGATTTCTTGAAATCATTATGCCAAGTGAAAGAAGCCAATCACAAAAGACAATATATTGCATGATTTATTCAGATGGAATGTCCATAACAGGCAAATCTACAAAGGCAGAAAGTAGATTAGTGGTTGCCAGGGGCTGGAGAGACTGGGGTATGCAACATCTTTTTGGGGTGGTGAAAATATTCTAACATTGACTGTGGCAATGGTTGCACAACTCCTTGGATATACTAAAACTCACTGAATTGTGCACTTCAAATGGCAAATTGTATGGAATGTGAGTTACATCTCAATTCACCTGTTCAAAACAGTGGTTCAAAGTGAACTTTTCCATCTGACCTGCTTCCCTAGGTCCCTCTGTTGGGATCCCATGAATATTCAATGTCTGCAAATACTGCAAATTCATGATCTTCAAAGGTGGGATACAGCAAGATTATACGGCAAAGAGCTTTCCAAAAAGGGCCACACTTTATCTACCCAAGAACCCAGGGAGCACACATTGGCCCAGGCATGGGGATTCTCAGCTGGGTCTCCAGGGGACCTTAGGTGGAGCGTCTATAACAGGCTCCGAGGGGAGGCCTGGGCCCCGAATCCTAGAAGAAATTCTGTATGTAGGTGGAGAGAGCATCTACACTTTCATCAGCTTCCTGAAGGAGCCCGTGACCCAAAAGGCATTAGGAACCATGAGGCACATTTGAGGGAACTACCAGGGAGCTTTTTCCTCCTAGCGTGGGGCGTGCCGAGCGGGAGCAAGGAGGCCTGGCTTCCTCAGCCATGCGGCCGGCGCCATGCTCACCTAGTTCTGAGTAACAGTTCTGGTGGGGAAGATGGAACTTGGGGCTAGACTCTCAGGTTTGCCCTCAAGCCCAGTTCATTAGTGGGTGTGTCTTGGGGAAGACATTAAAAAAACTCTTAGCCTCGGCTTTCTCATCTATATCTAATAGGATTGTAACAAGCACCTTGCAGAATTCCACTTAGCGTGGATTCCACATCCCTCCCTCCTCCTACCCGTGCCCTCCTCCCTTGTCCCTCCAGACTCACCTCCCTCTCTCCTTCCACCTCTGTGTGTGTGTGTGTTTGTATTTAGGTATGTATGTGTATGTGTGTCTGTGTGCGAGTGTGTATGTATTATGTGCACGCAGGTATGCGTGTTACGTGTATGTGTGTGTGTGTATGTATATATAATGTGTATCGTGTATGTGTGTGTGTATTTGTGCATGCACCCATGTATACGCCTAGCTCAGTGCCTGGGCACATTTGATAATCCTCCATAAAAATCAGCTGAATTTGAATCTCAAAACACCCCACACATGTGGGAATGTGTGTGTGTATTTGTGCATGCACCCATGTATACGCCTAGCTCAGTGCCTGGGCACGTTTGATAATCCTCCATAAAAATCAGCTGAATTTGAATCTCAAAACACCCCACACATGTGGGAAGAGAAACACACCAAATGCCTTCCATTAACTCACTTTAAGAATGCTTTTATAAACAAATAGCTCAGAATTCACTAATCCCATTCTGGCTGCTCTAGGACATGCCTTTGACTCCCTAGTGTTGGGCCGCAGGAGACAGTGGTGGAAAGGAGAGGTTAAACTGAGCTCTGGAGACATGAGGCCCTGGGTGGGCATCCAGCTTCAGTACCTCCTTGCTGGACAAATTCAGCAGCCTCTCAACAATGAGGAGACTCATACTAGCTCACTGGGCTGGTGTGAGCACTGAGCGAGTAGATGTTTACCCTGGGTTTGGCCCATAGTCAGTGCTCAGAACACCAGAGCAATGAGTGCTCAATACATATTGAACTGTTAATGGTGTGAGCACTGAGCGAGTAGATGTTTACCCTGGGTCTGGCCCATAGTCAGTGCTCAGAACACCAGAGCAATGAGTGCTCAATACATATTGAACTGTTAACAGCTCAACATGCAGAGCTAACGCACAGAGCTATTAACAGTATGCACGATGCCCATGTATGCTAAAGAGCAGTGGGGCCAGGCATTAAGGACAGATACAAGGCAGGTGCCCATGAGATGTGTGCCTGTTTGCTGACACTGAAAGTCCTTCTTGAAAGCTGTCCTACTCCTTCACAACATGCTGTTTTCCATACAAAGAGCAAGAAAAAGGCTACTGTTTCCTTATCAAGAAAAGGCAGGTCAGTTTTTGCAGGATTTCACTTGACAGCCTCTCAATTTTAGACAACTGCACCTTTCTGAGCATACACATTGCTGCTTGCTGTTTTGCCAAGCCCAGGGCTATGGTACAGACAGCGAATGCAGCATCCTTTGTAAACAAAACATGTTAAGCAAAGCAGAGCTGGTGCCTCCCTGGCATGCACCTGCTGTCCCTTCTTGCTTGGAGTTCATATACAATCCACAATTGAAAAGAAGTCATTTTGTCAAGGCCTGGGGCTCAATAAGGCCAGAATTCAGGTCAAAATGAAGGTGAGGCTTATTTTAGATTAAATATTGATTTAGAGTATGAATACCAGGAGATGGGGTCTATGTGCACAGCAAATGGCTTGGTGATTTTTGTGCCTTCTCAAGGCTTGGCATATCTGAAACAAAAAAGTGGAGGACTCAAAGGAAACAACTTTTCTAATTGCTGCTTCAGATGTTTCTGCTTGTAGATGTGACATACTGAGACAGTGCACATGTGGGGAAAGGGGCACTTGCCCAGGGGGTATGCTGAGTCCCCTCTTAGGGCCTCCCCACCATGAGACTGTTCCCTAGCTCATGTCCCCTTGTGCTGCACTCAGGCCTCACACATGAGACACACTAACTCTGGAACGGCAGAACATCCCAACACAGGGAGGCCTGAGATGGGCAGGCCTGCGGGTCCCAGGGGCCACAGCTGGAGGCTGACACAACCTCAGGGGCACAATCTCCCTGGTCTAACGGCTCAGTGAAGAGAGAGCCCTGTTTCAAGTGTGAGCTCGCCCTGTCCCTGTTAACTGACCCAAAACTGTGGTGTGTAAGTAAATTCCCCTTCCCCAGCTCAAGGAAGTGGGAACAGGAAGATCCCAGGGCTGGGATGGTGAGGACAGTGGGAGGAGAGCAAATGCCCAGGGTGAGTGGGAGGCTCCCATCTGGAGAACAGGGGCTTCCATTTCCCATCAGCCTTGCCGGCTCAGGCCCTCTGCTACTCTAACTGGGATTTAGGGTCCACCAAGTTTTAGGTAACCTCAAGGTTTATCTCTGAAGGCGAAACAGAACGAGAATGGGCTTTTAGGTCAGAATACCACTTAGGGCAAGTTACTGATCTTTGCTAAGCGTCACTGGCCTTGTCCGCAAAAGGTGGTCTAGTACCAGTTACCTCCGGGCTAAACATGATAAAGCACAGGACAGTGTCCAGCCAGCGCTCAGTTTGCACCTATGCTCTCCTCTGCAGTGCCCCTCATGCAGGACGCCGGCCTGTCTCTCTTTTACTCTCACCCCCGGGCTTAGCAATCAGAACCTGCTCCTCCATGAATCAGGCTTGGAGCATCCATTCTGTTTTGCCCCAGGCTGTGTGCAAGCTACTGGTGGGCCCCAAGCGGGCTCTGGCTCTTATACTTAGCTCATCTGTAAAGTGGAGTCACTTGTCATTGGCTCTGGCTACCTCCTGGGGTTGTTGTGAGACTCAAATGGGACAAGACAGCTGGAAGAAGCAGAAGGCTCATTGCAAAAGTAGGGAATGGTGGTCGCCGCCCAAAAGAAAATGCAGGCACTGACCTCGGATTCCGATGCGTCCACTGACTTCTCCTTGAGGTTCACGCTCTCGGTCAGCACAGCGCCATTGTACTTGTTGCAGATGTCCTCGTCTGAGTAGTGCAGGCCACCAGGGCTCGGCCGGGGTGGGGACCTGGCGTGAGGATGGATGCTGCAACTTATCCTCTGGGCAAAAGACACCTTCCCCCAGAGACTCCTAACCTGCCAACCAGCCTTCATCAAGTTGGAATATGAGGAAATCCACAGGCTTTGACACCACTCTGGCAACCGATGCAAAAAATGATGAGCACTGGCTCTCTAATGTTCAACAGCCTCCACTTATTGGGCGCCTGTCACTCTCAGGGGCTGTACCAGGCCTGGAGGCACTGGGGGCAGTGAGCCAGTCTGCCCCAGGGAGGGGCCAATGAGACACTAAAGTGCACAGAGTACCGAGGTCAGGACCAAAGGAGGTTCAGGGTGCTTGGCTCTCACAGGGTCGGGAGGGGGAAGGGGGATGCATTGGACAGGGATGAGGACAAGGTCATGGGGGAAGGGTCTGATCCGCTGAGCTAAGGAGTGTGGATTGTATGCCACTGATAAGAGGAAATCAGGGAAGTTTGTACCAGGCCTGGTGCCCTGCTTAGTGGGGGCCAGGACCCGAGGCTGGGCCAGGCAAGCAGGGAGGCTGCTGAAATATTAACTCCAATTAGACAGAATTCCAAGTTGGCCCCTACCACTGTCTCCTGTATCACCTCCTCCTCCTGAGTGGGGGCAGAGCCTGTGACATGCTTCTAACTAGTGGAATATGGCAATGGGGAGGGAGTGGCATTGCCTCGATCAGGTAATGTTATGTGGAAAGGGTAATGGACTGTCACTCCCATCACTCATGATCACATGACATTACATGAGACTCCGTCTTGGCAGACTGGAGACAGAGATGCTCCTGCTGGCCTTGCAGAAGCAAATAGCATGTGGAGAGGCCCCATGGCAGGGGACCATGAGTGGCCTCCAGGACCTGAAGGCAGTCTCCACCAATAGCCAGGGAGAAGCTGGGGCCCTAGGCCATGTGGCTACAAGGAAATACATTCTGCCCACAGCCTGAATGAGACTGGAAGAGGACTGTTGCCTAGTTGAGCCTCCAGATGAGAATGCAGCCCAACCAACAACTGGATTATGGCCATATGAGACCTTGAGAGGAGGACCCAGTTCAGCTGGACCCCTGACCCACGGAAACAGATAATAAATGTGTGTTGGTTTAAGCTACTAAATTTGTGTCGATTTATCACACAGCAGTAGAAAATGAAAACACTCTTCAGCTCCCAACTTCCTGCTGACTATCATCTTGTAGCTGAGTAAAAGCCCCGTTTTTAATTTTCAGATGGAGAAATTATAGCTTGGGGGGAAAATATGAGCACAAAATTGCTTAATTTTTGAATCAGGCAGGATTGAGTGTTTCTTATTCCCCCTGAAGATGTGCATGGATCTGTCAGTGAGAGCGGCATGTGCACTCACAGGGACCTTCCTCGTGTCCTGACCCTCGTGCTGTGATGCGTGCAGACCGGGGCAGTGGCTGCAGACAGAGTATCCTTTCATCCCCCAATGGGAAGGGTCCAAGCAAGGAGAAATTATGTGTGGTGGCATTTTCATGTTTCTATTACACAACAGGAAGAACTTGTTCTTAGACAAATGAAATGAAAGAAGTGACCAGATATACCACGAGCTTCTATTTCCCACCCTAAGGAAAGTAATTTGTGGGTGGCAGCCTGCTCTGCTTTGGACCGACCACCAGGTTGTACTGGCAGAGGGTCAGCTGCAGGTAGAAGACCCACTTGGGTAAACTGCCTCCCCCAAAGAATGAGGTGTCTCAGTCAGTTCTGGGCCTCAGCACCTCTCACATGATTTGAGATTCCCAAATTGAGGTAGAGAATGGGAGCAGTGTAGACAATCTCAGGTACTGCTCACCACTGTAAGTTTTAAAGACCATGCAGGGATGCTGAAACCTTTCAGCCCATTTGTTTTGGTGATGTGCAACTCCATGTCCTTGTAATTAAAAGTAAATCCAAGTCAAGTCTGGCCCAGGAAGAAGAGGCACTCAGTGCTGGTGGACCCAGGAAGAGCCCTGAGCTGTCTATTCTCCAGGTAAAGCATCCTCAGGTGTTTGGGTTTTTTCCTACTGGACTTTAGCAATCCTGGCCCTTCTCCTCGGTCAAGGGTGATCAGATGGGAAGATGGTGCTCTACAAATCAAAAAGCAAATCAAGGTTTTCCCCTCTCTTCTCTGGGAAGTCTTACTACCAGCTGATGTTAGGAAAAGGGCGGAAAGATTAAGAGGCTTTGGTGGTGAAAATCATTCTTTTCTGCATTCACATCCAGACATGAAATGGCAATCTACGTAATTACAGGGAAACTTTGGAATACATAAAGTGATAAGAACAACCACCACCATCACCCTTCCATTCTAGAACACTAGATCAAGATCAAGCCTGCTGCAGCCTAAGGTGACATCTACATGAACAAGGAATTCCCCAGTTCGAGGTGCCCAGCCAGTTGACAGAGCAGGCCAACTCCCACACGCCTGAGATCCTGCCCTCTTTTTATATCTCTAGAAATGCACTAAAAATGTCTCTCCATCTGCCGATCCTGTCCATCCTAGATTCAATGCTTCCTCTGGTTGGTTTAGAATCAGTGGGATACGGCGGGTACCAGAAGGTGCAGGGCATGACCAGCCAGCACACCAGCCCTGGCTGGCTTAGGTCCTTGGGCAGACACAGCACCCTGGGGCTGTGGCCACTGCCTCCCTACCTGGCGTACATTTTCCTGCAATGACATAGATTGCCTACCTGGTCCCATTCTTCTTTGAGAAGGTGCTCTTGACATTGAGGTGGCGGCTGTTGAGCTCCAGGGCAGCAAATCCGCCATTATCCAGGGTCACAGACTCCTCCATATTGGAAATGCTCTTCCCTAAAGCCCAACCAGGAAAGCAAGCACAGAAGTTTTATTAATGTACCCACTGCAGGGATGCTGAGCCTGCGTTAGTCAAGGACAGGAGTTCCTGAGCTCCTGCTATACATAAATCCCAGAGCCGTGCAAGATCTACTTCGGCTCCTAAGGCAGTTAGAGCTGAGCTGAACTGGGGAGAAAAGCTATGTATTGATTACAATGCTGGAGCAAGGCAATATTAGCACAGCAGTGTTTATTTTGCCTGACTCCAAAATAGCAGTGTTCTTGCCAGTATTTTATGAAAATGTATTCAGAATGCATAAACTTTTTTAAAGTCCGGGAAACTAAATATTTAATAAATTTCAAAATAAAAACTTCACAATCGTATTATAAAATAGGAAGTACAAGTAAACGTTTAGGGGCATGACAGCTAAAGAAAGGTACAGGTCTCCTTTTAGATGACAGAAATAAAATTGACTGTGATAATGGGTGTAATCTCTATCAATAAAATACTGAATTGTACACTTTATCAGAACCACACTCACCCGAGTGAGCCACGGGCCAGCCCTTGAATTGTACACTTTAAACAAATATAAACTTACAAACACATATCAAAACATATTCTAAAATATATTATCAGATCAAATGAATATAAATAAAGTTATGAGAAACCAAACAACATAAAAAAACTTCCAATGGCCTCCCATCTCATTTGGTGGGAAGCCCAAGTCCTCACAGCTGTCCTGGGCTTGGGCCTGGTCTGTATCCCCCATCCCAACGTCATCATCTACCACTCCCCCCTCCCTCATGCTGGCTCAAGCTGAGCATGCTCACCCCGGGGTTGTCCTACTTGCTGTTCCCTCTGCCTGGAAGCCCTTTTCCCAATACCCTCCTGGATCACTCACACTGTCCTTCAGAGCACAGCTAAGGTCATGAGACCAGAGATCCCTTCCTGGCCATGCTGCAGCAAGCTCTCCTTCCCCTGCCTCCTGCACTCCCAGCATTCTGTATTTCCCCCAAGGTGCTCATCACATCACCACCTGGGGTACTTCTCACACATATATATGTGCTTATTTCTTTTAGTCTCCCTTATACCGTCCCCTAACAGCTCTCCGAGGCATGGACTTCATCCATCACACTTCCTGTCCTGCTAGCCTCTAGGACAGTGCCTAAGCACACACCAGGGGCTTGACAGGTACCTGTTAAGTGCGTAGACATTTCTAAACCCCAAGGGGTTCCTCTCTGCGAGGGACCTTGCACCTGTTCAACATGAATGTGCTTTAATGCCCTATTTGTGTGCAGCAGAAAAAGCCAATAGAACACAGAACAGCAAATGAAAAATGAATTTGCCTGTGAGTGGGGATTTGGGTTGAGGGTGGGGAGCAGGTGAAAGCCAATATCAGAAAGCAATTCAGATGCAGACAGTAGGAAAAGGGAGTACATGCGAGAAGGGTTGTAGAATGATGCTGTCATAGCAGAGGTTTAAGTTCTGCATGTCTCCCAGGCAGGTAGGGAGACATTCTGGTAGACAAGTGTTTTTTTCCCTAGGCTTCAATTATGATGTTAAATTAATACTCCAGGCTAAGGCTGAGTATCAGAAGCTGCAGGTCAGATCTGTCTTTTCAAGTCTGTTTTCCAGACGGAGGAGAGTGAAAAGCAGGGAGATTTTCTATGCGCCATACATAGGAGCCTGTAATAGCATTAACTCACTAAAATGACATGCCATTCATACATTGTAAATCCCACAGGAATAAAATCTGATTTACGAACACTTGTTAGAAGTGAATTTATACAGAAAAAAAGAAATCCTTTCTTTGAGGGATGAATTGCTGAACGTTACAGAAGCAAATGGCGAGGCATGTGGGGTGCCTGGTTTTATTAACCCCTTCAGCACAAGGACAGTGGTGCTGCTGGCTGGGCTCAGGTGGCCAGGCTCTTCTCCTACAGGACCTCATCAGGGAGCTGCCAGGAAAGCTGATGGGAAAACCTCCCATGACAGAGCCGAGCTGAGAAAGAGGCCAGTCCAGCAGTGTGGTGACATCAGAACTGCCCACATCCTGCACTCAGTGACAGCTCTGGTGGCTGCCGCGTGGGATTAAAACAGGCTGCTTTCTAGAGCTCAGTTATATTCTGGTTATGCAAAGAAGTTGTCCGCTGGTAATTACGAGAACGTTTTTAACGTTGATGCCACTGAAATACACAAAGTTCGCTAATCTCAAGCGTTGTGGGGCATGATGTCTTCTCATTATGTGTGTAACCGGCGCCCTCATTGAAGCATATAGAGCATTTTCAGCACCCGCAAAGCTCCCTCACACACCCTCCTGTTTATGCCTCTCCACCAAGAGATCACCACAATTCTGCCTTCTAGAAACACCCACTCATTTCGGTGGTTCTTGACCTTCATATAAATGGGGTTGTACTGCATGTGTTTTCTTGTGGCTGGCTTTGGGTCCATTTGTCCATTTCTCTAACAATGGTGATTCATTCAGCAACAAACATTTACTGACTGAGCACCTATTCTGTGCCAGGTGTGGAGCTTGTGCTGGGAACACAACAGTGAACTGGCCCTCAGAGGGCTCAGAGCTGGATGGTGGGCTGGAAGGCAAGGTGCGAACTCCAGCACGTGGGAAGGGCTGTACCATGACAACATTTCTGTAACACTCCATGAGCACACCAAAATACCTGAGATGTGCCCCAGTTCGTTATTTTCATAACACTGAGTAGTACAGTATTTCTTCTCTTTAAGGCTTTATACTTCCTAATTGTATTACAAAATACTATTGCACTTGAGCTATGGAGCAGAGGAGGAAACAGACTCAGAGAGTCCCAAATGACTCCAATGCCCTATCCAAGAACCAGGGTGAACCTGCGGGCAGCCAGGTCTAGAATCTGGGTCACTGAGGTCCAGAGCTCTTGTTTCACTATAACTTGCTGCCTCCAGAAAGAAAACTGTGGCATCTACCTTACACCTATTGGCAAAGGAAATGAAAAGCAGATGTTGGCACAGGTGACCCAGGAAGGAAAAGCAAACGTGAAAGTGTTAGCTCAAGGATGCCGAGGGCACTTTGGGAAATGGAAAAATGAAGGCAGACAGCATACCTGTGCCGCAGTTCTTGTATTTCTTATTTTGTCCATGCAAGACCAGAGTAAACACCACCAGCAGGATGATGATCAGGCTCGAGAGCGCCATCACCAGGAGGAACCACCACTCCTCATAGAACGGGGCTTCCACTTGAGCTGAAGAAAAGACACGGATACACAGTGATGTGTGGCAGAAACTCCAGATACAGCCATCTCCCCATGAACCAGGGTTGTGGGGTTCCCAAGGTGGCTGGGGAGGATGGACGTGATGGATGACCCCGGGTTACAGGTGAGGTGGGACCGCTGTGCATCTGGGTTATCGCAGGCTGGTGGACTCTTGTCCCTGGGACGAGGCTCAGGCAGCCTCAGTTCCTCAGCAGGCTTTGGGGATTAAGCAGCAGCACTTTCCCACCCTTTCTATGGAATCAGGCTCAGAGCTCCTCTGTCCCTCAGGCTACCCTCTTCCCTGGAGACATCTCAATTCTTGCCCTTGCTCTGAACTTGCCCCTCAAAACTACCCTTCATGTTTATTTCTTCCTAATTTCATCTGTTAAAAACACTGCCTGGGTTAAAGTGACAGAGGAGCACGAAGTGCCTGGGCTTCCTCTCCGTGCTCACACTCTGCTCCGAGACGGCCAGCCGGAGTCCCCTAGCCTTCTCCATCACCACCTCTCACCTGTGCCACCATGTCCCAATGTTTTGCCTCTTCCTGTCTTACTCAAACCCATCCTTTATAATCATCATATCTTTCTGAGAAGGAAATCAGTCGTGCCTCCTAAGGTCCTTGAGTGGCTCCCCGGAAGATACAGGGTAAAGTCTGAGCCCATGAAGCCCCCATGGTCTGACCTCTGTTCACGCCAAGCCCTAGATCCTGTCCGTCCCTGTACAGAAACCTCTTGTGATGGTCACAAGCACTCACTGGGTGTATTTGTCTACCTGTTGGCCTCCTCCCAGATCATCAGCCCCCGAAGCCTGGGGCTGTGTTTCATTTATTTTGTGCCTCCAGCAAAACTGAGTTGAACTAGTTGCCCCATCTTCAGATATGCTTTTGAGAAATGAATAGAAAAGGTTTCATTTAAAAGCTGCTTTGAAGAAGGATACTCTGCTTCCTTATGTCTCATTCTGTTTACTAAAAACAGAAAATTGGGAAGTTGTTTTTCTGTGGGTGCTGGATGGCCTGGGGTCTCATTCAGCACCTCCCATGTGCCTCTCTGCAGGGAAGCTGGTTCTGAAGCCCGAGAACATGCAGCTCCTTACAGGCAAAGCTCAAGGTCTGCCTCCCAGCTGCCAAAACCCACAGAAAACACATCTACCTTAAGTTAAATATCTCACTGAATAAATAAAAAATGCATGCACACTGGGAATAAAAGAGGAAATTGACTTTAGATAATGTAACACCGCAGGGTTTCTTAGGAGATGACAGTATTTTGAATCCAAAAAATGCAAGTGAGTTTTCAGGCTGTACATTAAATACTCCATATAACGAGTCCGGTAAATCCCAAACTGACCACCCTTAAGTGACCCAGGGTGGGCCTGGCTCTAGCACCTGACAGGAAAGAAAGGCTTGGGCTGTTCTGCAGGATGCTCCTGCTAGGGCAGGATATCCCCAGTGCCGCGCAGCCTGGATCCATAAGTGATGCCAGCAGGTGACAGTTGCTGGCTTCTCAGAAGGATGCAATAAGCTGACTGCAGTCCAGCTGGCAGCCAAGGCCAGCGTTGGATGCAGTAGAATTTCAGAGAAACGTTCCAGCCACATGCCTCATGAAGAAGGGTGCAGGGCCGTGTTCCATGGAAGGGACCAGCCTTTGCTATCAGTCATGCATGTGTGTGTGGATTGTATTTGGAATTGCTTTATATCAGTTTTTCATAGATGAACCAAGTGAGGCAAATCTTGAATTATCGAATTAGGGCAAGGGGTCCTGGGGGTTCCTTATTCTATTTTCTCTACCTTGGAGCATGTTTAAAATTTTCATGATAAAAATAAAGGAAATGAGAAATTTTTGATTTTTTAAATCTTACTCATTAAAAAATCTAGGAGTTCTCTGAGTCCCTTCCTTGAAGGCCCGTCTCACTGAGTGGCCCTGGAATTCAAGTGTGCTCCTAGACCAGGGGTCAGAGGTTAGGGCCCCTGAGCTCACACACAGACCCTATCTTTCTTCCAAACCCATGGCAAAGAAAGGATGAAGACTGTTTTCAAAGTAGACAAATGCTACCAGTAGCTTAAGCACATCTAAATGCAGGAGAAATGAAACATTTTTCTTGACTGTAAGGAAGAAAACAGATGGAGTCAGACCTTGGCTGGCTCCGCCTCTCACGGTTTCTGGCCTAGACTCTGCCTGCCCCTCCTGAAATTCCTTCTGCCTCTGCTTGCTGCCGTCAGCTCCCTTTTCTCAAATACCTTCCTGTGGTCGTCCTCCAACCCACCCCTCACTTAAATGTGGCTCGCAGGCTGGCCGGTTAGCTCAGTTGGTTAGAGTGTGGTACTGATCACACCAAGGTCCAGGGTTCAATCCCTGTGATCAGCCAAACACACACAAAAAAAGTGGCTCACGAACGCAGCTGCACATTAGAATCACTGTGGGGTTAAAAAATAATAATCCCTAGACCCCTGCCCCAGCCACTGAAATCAATGTCTGGGGTAGGGTCCCAGTGAGGGTATTTTCTTAACATTCCCAAGTGACCCTAAGGTGCAGCCAGAGCTGAAGCCCATTCCTTGCAGGCATAGGGTCCCACGTGATTAGTCCAGGCCACATGACTGGCCTTGTGCCCTGCGCCGGGCTCTTCCTATGACCAGGACTTCATCTCTGTGGCTCTCTCTGCCTCCTCCCAGGATTTCTTTTCCTCCTATGGCTACGCCCCCTGCACCTTTCTGGTCCCCCCAGGCGAGGGAACTTTCTCCCTATGTGTCACACCCCTTGCCACATCACTGGTGACCAGGGACACATCTGTCACCTCACTAACATGTGAGCTCCAGGAAATGAAACCTGGGCTTGGCCTTCTCCAAGCCCAAGCAGTGGGGCTGGTGCCTCCACATGTAATCCATCTACAGGGATGGCAACTGGCACCAGCTCACCCTGGACCCCGAGCAGTAACAGCTCCTGGGCCCCTCCACTGCCTCTCAGGAAGGCCCCAATAAAAGCCAGCCTCATATCGAGTGCTAACGCTCCCCAGTGACTGCTGGGGCCATATTTGCATTTCCAAATCTACACACTGCTCTCCATTAAAGATGTGTCAGCCAACATGGGGACCCAAGGCTCTGCTTTGCTTAGGACTGCCTTTGCCCCAGAGGGACACAGCTTAGCCCAAGCCAACCACACTGACTCCTGCATATAACTCCAATTTAAAAATATATATATATGAAGAAACAAATTAAGAATCATTTGAGCACAGTGTGGTGGGGAAATCTTCTCAAACGCTTAGTCAATTAGGGAGCCTTACTGGTGGTGCTGGTGACAGCTCTGGGGCCTGGGATCCTGCTAGAGAAGAGCTGGCCCCCCAGGGCTGTCAGGCAGGCAGCTGCCCAGGAGCACTGGTGGTACTAGGGAGGTGCGGGGGACAAACACCATTCTCTCCATGGGCACTTTCTCTAGGCAGGCCCCTTGACTAAGTTGGAGAGTTCTAAAGAAGCAAGGTGTGTGTCCTCTTTCTTTTTGCTAATGGTTCCTCTTCATCCTCCCTTCCTTCAGAAGAAAAGAGGCCTCCTCCCCTGAGACATCCCCCTAGAAGGAGCCCTACCTGACACCGCTGTGGAGGGGCTGCTGGGCTCTCCGTAGCCCACCTCGTTTACAGCCACCACCCGGAATTCATAGGTCACTCCTTGCCGGAGCTTTTCCAGGCTGACGGTGTAGGATGTGGCACTCCGGGGAATGTCCTTCACAAACATGTCCCATAAGCCTTCATCTGCAGGAGGGATGATGAAAGGAGAGCAGAGGTTAGGGTGGCTTTTCTTCCCGATAGGAGCCCCGTGCATTCAGACACCCCAGCTGCCCAGCAGGTCAGCTCAGAGCTGCCTCAGACGAGGGCATCCTATGGGAATGTCAGAGGCCGGTGTGGGTGACGCAGGGGAAAGGGAGGGGGACAAGTTCTCTCCCTCACTGACAGATTCTGCTAAAGTTGCAAGCTGGGGAGTGGCATTTTCCTGAACATTCCCCTCATCCCTATTATGTTCCCATCAGATTCTCCGCCCTCCCCTCTGGTTTCTGATTTGATCCCATCTTTAGGATTTCTGGCCCCCCTCTGGCTTGCCGCTTTCCCAGCTCACTGTGTGCACACCCGTTCCTAATCCCGTGATCCCACCTCCCTGGCCTACCCACAACTCCCACCCTGCCCACCCCACCGGTCACTAGCTGGTCCCTGAAAACACCAAACATAGTTCTGTGTCCTTTAGTGTTCCCTTCTGGCTTGCCGCTTTCCCAGCTCACTGTGTGCACACCCGTTCCTAATCCCGTGATCCCACCTCCCTGGCCTACCCACAACTCCCACCCTGGCCACCCCACCGGTCACTAGCTGGTCCCTGAAAACACCAAACATAGTTCTGTGTCCTTTAGTGAGCCTGGTGTGTCCCACCTGCATGCTAATTGGAAACAACAATCCAGCCAATGGGTCAAAGGGAAAACTTTAAACAGCTTCTTTTACCAACTGGATGCCAACTTTGGGGTGACGCTGACGTGACCACCACACAGTGGTGGGCAGTAACAGCAGTGCCCTGATTTCAGCTTTAAAACATCTACCCCGCGCCGTGTTCTTATTTACAGTAAAAGTGCTTGGATGGCAGTGGATGTGGAAGTGCTGGAATTGTGGGATCTACACATACTCCATGACAACCCTGCCAGGGCTCCTTTAGCTCACCCCAATTATATGACATGGAGTTTCTGACTTAATGGCAACCTCCCAAACCATGCAAAGTGCTACCCTCGATTTTGAGCATCCTTTGGAGTGGCTTCAGCATCAAACCTGCCCTAAGATCAGCAGTTTTTTAATCTCTAGCTCAGGTGCTACCAATACAAGTATAAATTTTAAAAAATATGTTGAATTTTGAACAGATACTTGTACACCCATGTTCATAGCAGCATTATTCACAATAGTCAAAAGGTCAAGACAACCCAAGTGTCCCTGGACAAATGAATGGATAAACAAAATGAGGTCTATCCATACAATGGGATACTATTCAGCCTTCAAAATTCTGACATGTTCTACCACATGGGTGAACCTTGAGGACATTACACTACGTGAAATAAGCCAGTCGCAAAAGGACAAATACTGTATGATTTCACTTATATGAGGTGTCTAGAGTAGTCAGACTCACAGACACAGAAACAGAATGGTAGTTTCCAGGCGCTGGGAGAACGGAAGTGGGGAGTTACTGTTTAATGGACATGGAATTTTAGTTTTGCAAGTTGAAAAGAATTCTGGAGCTGGATGCTGGTGATGGCTGCACAGCAATGTGAATGGACTTAACGTCACTGAACTGTGCACTTAAAAGTGCTTAACATGGTAAATTTTATGTTATTTATATTTTACCACAGTAAAAAAAAAATATTGAATTTATTTAAACCCTGACATACAGGAAAAACATGAATAAAATTGAAATAACAGCCAGAAAAATCTTAGACAGAGGGGAAGGAAGAAGTAAATGGTTTGGTTCTGCGGCATCTACCAACAGAAAAAAAGAAATATGATCAATGAAATCCATCATCAAAGAAATCAAAGTCACCACAGCCTTGTGGCTAAAAGGACAGAGTCTGGAGCTAAACAGCGTTGATGCAAAGCATGACCCCACCAATTAGCTGTGTGACCTCAGGCAGACTACTTAACCTCTCTGTGCCTTATCTCTAGAATGGTGATAACAAAGGCATCTACATCCTAGGTTTGTTTCAAGGATTAAATAAGTTAATATTTATAAAGCGCTTAGAACAGTGCCTCACACATAGTAAGCACTACATCAGTGTTTGTACAATAAAATATAAATCCAATCTCTGAGGAGGTCATTTGGCAAAAGTGGGATCAGAGCTCAGAATGTTCATCTGAGCAACCCTTTATTAATTATTTGTTCTTTTATAGGCACATGTATATGATCTTTTAAAAAGCAGGAGATCTGTGAGGAAAACACCGTTCGAATATGTATGTACACATGCTGACAGCTTTATGGGGTGCTGAGGGTGATCTGGAAACCAACCTTACAACACCACAAAACACCAGACATGCTCAAATGGACTAGCCCAACAGTAAACAGGAAGAAAATTGCTACTGTACCAATCTGTATTTGCAGAGGACTTAGAGTTTGTATTAAGTCCCTATAGTCATGGATTCATGAAGAAATAGATGTGAATGAGATTTTAGAAGTATAAACCTCTTTACAGGCAAGAAAGATAGTACAATGATTATTTCTAAATATTCACATTTATAGTCATTTCTCGCCAGATACCCATTACCACTAATAATGTCAAAACGGCAAGCCATAGCTTAAGCCTTTTATTTTCCTCCTACAGTACTGAGGTCTACACAAGGAATGACGGTTGTATGTGATTTGTAGTCTTGCATATGAGTTTTGCATAGGAACACTCAGTGTGTGTACACATTTACTCTGCACAGGCCACTCCCTCTGCCTGGAAAGCCCCCGTTACCCCCTCTCAGTCATCCATAAACACTTAAGTGCCCTCTTCGGTCAGGCCCTGTTCTACCCATCAGGGAATCAGATGAGATTTCTGTTCTCAATGAGCTACCTACAGTCTGCAGGCAGGGGGTGGAAGAAAATCAGCAAGGACGCTTTACCCTACAGTCTCATCCTTCCATGGCCAACCTTGGACCCCATCCCACACTCCAGGAAGGGCTGGCTGCTTCCGCCAATGGGCTTCCAGAGCACATCATCACATTTACCTGCAAACCATCAGGATCCCGAATTTGTCAAAAGTTCAATAGATATCTGTTGGCATCATCCATCCATCCATCCATCCATCCATCCATCCATCCATCCATCCATCCATCCATCCACATCCATCCATCCATCCATCCATCCATCCATCCATCCATCCATCCATCCATCCATCCATCCATCCATCCATCCATCCATCCATCCATCCATCCATCCATCCATCCATCCATCCATCCATCCATCCATCCATCCATCCATCCATCCATCCATCCATCCATCCATCCATCCATCCATCCATCCATCCATCCATCCATCCATCCATCCATCCATCCATCCATCCATCCATCCATCCATCCATCCATCCATCCATCCATCCATCCATCCATCCATCCATCCATCCATCCATCCATCCATCCATCCATCCATCCATCCATCCATCCATCCATCCATCCATCCATCCATCCATCCATCCATCCATCCATCCATCCATCCATCCATCCATCCATCCATCCATCCATCCATCCATCCATCCATCCATCCATCCATCCATCCATCCATCCATCCATCCATCCATCCATCCATCCATCCATCCATCCATCCATCCATCCATCCATCCATCCATCCATCCATCCATCCATCCATCCATCCATCCATCCATCCATCCATCCATCCATCCATCCATCCATCCATCCATCCATCCATCCATCCATCCATCCATCCATCCATCCATTCTTGTGTCCTGTGGCCTTTCTCAGAGCCTAGCACAAACAGGCTTTCAGTAATAATAACTGTCCACAGTTTTATTTAGTGCTTACATGATCAAGTTACTACTAAGGGCTTTAAATGTTGAATGAATTGTGAAATGTTTTTCCTCTAAAAAGACAGATAATTTTATGCTGCTGTAAAAGAGACTGAAGGCAAAAATACAGACACTTATAAGCTTATAAGAGTTGATTAAAACCATTGAAACTAAGCGACTAAGAGTGTGAAAGATTTTTTTCAGACTGTTCTGAGGTTCACACCTCTGGAGCGGGTTTTCTGGATGTCTTTTTCAACAGTGTTTCTGTAATGCTTTCTTGTTACTGAGGAAAAAAGTTGATTTCCCCTTCCTCTACCATCACCTAAAGTCCACATTTTATTTTAGCACTCTGTCATAGCTCCAGGAATTGTGTGCATTTTTTATAAAAACATTTAAAAATATTTGTACAGAATCTCAACACAGAACGATTTATTTAGCAATCCATTTACGCTCAAAAATGTTGAGGGGGAGATGTCATAACATGGGAATTTCCTTCTGAATTAACAGAAGAACATGTTCATATTTTTATTCTGCTTAATTCTGCCTTTCCAAAATTAGCATATTCAGCACTTTATATGCCAGTTATAATTCACTGGGTTATTTATCCTTACTAATATTTACACCATGATCATGAGTAAGAAAAAAATTGGCAGCTGTTGTCCACTCTGTTGTCTCAACTGTGAATTGTTTTTCTCATTTGTATTATGTTAAGTATCTCTTTTATATGCCAGTTATAATTCACTGGGTTATTTATCCTTACTAATATTTACACCATGATCATGAGTAAGAAAAAAATTGGCAGCTATTGTCCACTCTGTTGTCTCAACTGTGAATTGTTTTTCTCATTTGTATTATGTTAAGTATCTCAATAAATCAATGATGGAGAAAAGTTTCTCCACAAATTAGGGGAAAAAATAACATCACAGAACTATTAGCAATAATGAGATTTGTGCAACTGATTTTCCATGTACCAGGATGATCTCCAGTGCTTAGATTTCCATCTCAGTCAACACTTGAGAGGACAGCTGGGCCTTGTACTTTTTAAAAGGCAATTCTGGGCCCACAATTCAGCCAGTTTTTAATCATCAGGTGAGTTAGATTTCCATCTCAGTCAACACTTGAGAGGACAGCTGGGCTTTGTACTTTTTAAAAGGCAATTCTGGGCCCACAATTCAGCCAGTTTTTAATCATCAGGTGAGGCTTGCCCCACTGGATATTCCAGGGACCCCA